TGCTACTCTTTAGGGGAGTAGAAAGCCTCATCTTCCTCCCAAGGGGTGTTGAGAAATTTTGCAATATAGACATCGCTGTGGCAAGTCAAGGCTCTGGTGGTGTAGTGGAGAGATACGCACTGGGCTGCGTTTTTTTGGTTTGTCCCATAGCTGGCTCCCCAAAGTATCTGTCCACTGTCAACGAGGCAACTACCCTCCCTTGTTCTTCCACTGTTAGTATGCCTGCTTCCAACCTGGAAGGACAGCAGTGAGGCTCCAGAAAACATGGGAGCACTCTCTGGGCAACCCACAGCCCACTTCCCAGAAGCCAGGCTCCCCCAGCTGTAATGCTAGCAGTGACCACTGAGAGTCTATTCCGCACACAAGTTGCTTCGCCTGGAGCCACCTCAGAGAGGAGAAAACCCAACACTCAAGTTCCACATCCAGGATTTCTCCTGCCCTAGTCTGTGGGAAAGAGTTCTTTTCACACAGGTGTATGCATGGTAACTCCAAAACAAGTAAGAAACTAGGAAAAGGGGAGCTGACCTGTTGGCATTCTTCATTGGGATTCAGAATATACCTTCTCATGAAAAATCATAGTCCCAGGGATGGGAGGTAGAGAATTGTCTATTTCACTGAGGGAACTGCAATTATTATAAAACAGCTGTGTATACATTATTAAATGGAAATTAATATGCTCTGTAAATTTTCACCCATACCAGAATAATAATTCATAAATAAGCCTTTAAAACAAAAAAAGAAGAAACCATCATAAAGCAGAGGGTCTCAACTTTTTATCTATTTGTCCACACCTGGGAAGACCAGGGTTCCATTTCTAGCAGAAGGTTCCTACAAAAGTGATTCTCAGCTGGAGAGTACATGACATGCCAGCATGTAATAGAATTTGGGGGATGTGGTTTCCTCAATGAAGAGCGAATTGTCTCTCAGGTAATTCTGATATGCCCTCGGGAAAAAGAATCATTTTCATACAGGATGAATAGATAAGTTACATTATCGCAGCACTCCTCTGATACATTATGTTTTAAATGGAGTTTGCTTAATAATATGACTACACTTAAAAGTTATTAAGGGATGTATTTTTCTAACTTCAGAAAACATGTAAAAAAAAAAATGATGTAAAACATTACCTGTCTCAAACTCTAGGATTCTCAATAAAAGAAACAAAAATGTGACTAATATTCATTTGTTAAGTCCTACGGGTTTATCTGATATTTTAGAAGAGTTATCCCAGTAGGTCCAACGCTGTTGTTGTCAGCAGTTCGACTCATGGTGACCTGTGCTCAGCAAACAATACGCTGCCTGATCTGATGCCACTCTCACGTGGATGTTTCAGCCCATCATGCAGACAGACATACGTCAGTCAGCCCGTCGAAAACTTTTCTGTCTCTCTACCAAGCATGTGGTACTTCTCCAGAGACTGGTCTCTCCTGATAATAAGTCCACAGCACAAGAGGCAAAGTCCCTTCATTCTCATTTTTAAGGAGCATTCTTGCTGTAATTCTTCTAAGACAGATTTGTTACGCTGGCAGACTATGGGATTTTAAATATTCTTCACTTACACCCTAAATCAAATGCATCGATGATTCTTTGGTACTCCTTATTCATTGTCCAACTTTCACATAAATGTGAGGTGACTAAAAGTACTTGGGTCAGGTGCACCTTAGTCCTCAAAAGGACACTCCTACACTTTAAAGAGATCTCGTGCAGCAGATTTGCCCAATGCAATATGCTATTTGATTTCTTGACTGCCGTTTTTATGAGCATTGGTTAAGGATACAGGTAAAATGAAATCTTGGACAATTTTCAATCTGTTCTCTGTTTATCATGATGTCATCAAGTGGCCCAGTTGTAAGGAATTTTTGTTTCTTTACATTCAGTTGTAATCCAATACTGAAGGCTGTCTTCGATCTTCATCAATAAGTGCTTCAAGTCCTCTTCACTTTCAGCAAGTCAGTGAGCCAACATACATATGGCAAGTAGCTGTCAAATCTTCTTGCAATCCTGATGCTGCATAATGCAGCTTCTCAGATCTGCTCAGCATAGACTGAATTAGTATGGTCAAAGGATATAATCCTGACCCAAACCTTCCCTGATTGGAAATTACAATATCCCTAATTCTAGCCTAATGACCGAGTCTTAGCCTATGTATAGATTCTGCATGCACACAATTAAGTGTTTCTTGAATTTCCATTCTTGATAATGTTATTCATAATTGATTATGATCCATATAGTCAAAAGCCTTTGCATAGTCAATAAGACACAAGCAAACATCTTTCTGGTATTCCCTGTTTTCAGCCAAAATCAATCTGACATCAGCAATCATACCCTTAATTCCACATCCTCTTCTGAATTCCATGTTATTTCTGTCCTGACTTTGTGACAGCTCTGTCTATGCACTGTGCATTTTGAAGTTATATTCAGCTTACCTGTGATATTAATGATATCATTTGTGGTAGTTACATAATCTGGTGTCAATTTGAGGATTAAGAGTAAAGGGGTGGTGTCTAGCCTGTCAATCAGGTTATAGCTAATGAGGCCTGTGTTTGTGCATGGCATTCTGCTGAGGATTCTGGGAACTGTAGTATTCCTCCTTGGAGGCAGGAGACTCTCTCTCTGCTCACTCCCTGGGAGACATTCCATCTGACAAGCCACCTGGAATTATGCTATTCCCCAGAACTGGAGCCACGTGGATACTTCTGCCAGCGCTGAGATGCTTACACCACTGAATCCACAAGACTTCCCACCCTATGATCTTCCTGCATTCGGCATCACTGCATGTATTTCGTGAGTCTGAAGAAGATTTTATAGACTGGTATCGGACATATGGGCTAATATTGAACTTACAGACTTGATCTGGACTTGGCTGGGATGTTTTCTCAGTATTCAATTGCTCTTGTATATAAAGCTCTTTCCTATACACACATGCAATTTGTTTCTCTAGTCCACTCAGACTAAAACACCATTAGATAATTTCTACACTATATTTGAACTCCTTTCTTTGAAAGTGGCCCAATATATATCTCTTGTTGATCAGCTAGCCGTCTTCCATATTTCTTGAAATAGACAAAATAGTGGTTTCGGTGTTGCATCTTTTTGTTGAAACATCTCAATGGGTAGTCTGTCCATCCTCGGATCTTTGTTTTAGCCGATGCCTTCAGTGTATCTAGCTTCTTCCTTCATTACTATTGGCTCGTGATCATATGCCACCTCTTAAATGCTTGAGCACTCACCAATGACTCTGTGTATTCATTCCATCTTCTCTCAGTGCTTCCTGCATCATAGAAGAGTTAGCCCATAGAATCTTTCAGGACTGCAACTCCAGCTTGGCTTTTTCTTCAGTTTTTCAGCTTGAGAAACGCCAAGCATGTTTTTCCTTTTGGTTTTCTAAAGGTAGAGCGTTGCACACATCATCGTAATACTTCGCTTTGTCTTCGTGAACTGTCCTTGAAATCTTCTGTTCGGCTCTTCTCCATCGTTCTCCCCTGGTGTTAGCCACTGCACATCGAAGAGCAAGCTTCAGAGTCTCTTTTCACATCTGTTTTGGTCTTTTCTTTCTTCCCTATCTTTTAAATTATATTTTGCTTTCTTTGTGGATGAAATCCTTGATGTCAACCCTTAATTCATTCTGGTCTAAAGTTATTAGTACTCAATGATTAGTATCTATTCTGGAGATTGTCTCTAAATTTGGGTAGGATATATTCAAGGTCATACTTTGACTCTTGTAGACTTCTTTTAGTTTATCTTCAACTTGAACTTGCATAGGAGCAATTGAGAATGTGTTACAAAATCAACCCTTGTCCGTGTTCTGACTAATGATACTGAGTTTCTTCATCAACTTTTTAAAAAATAATTCTATTAGGGGCTCATACAACTCATCATAATCCATACATACATCAATTGTGTAAAGCGCATTTGTACATTCATTGCCCTCATCATTCTCAAAACATTTGCTCTCCACCTAAGCCCCTGGCATCAGTTCCTCATTTTCCCCTCCCTCCCCCCTCCTCCCTCCCTCATGAACCCTTTCTTCATCAACGTTTATACCAATTAGTCAATTTGATTCTTGCTTATTCCATCAAGTGAGACCCACTTGTATGTATAGTTGCCGTGTATGTAGCTGAAATAAGTCATTACTATTCCCAATGAATTCCCAAGGTATTCCCAATGAGCAGGTCATTGGTCTTGTCAAACTCCATCATGTAATTACAGCTTTGTTTCTGTCACCAAAGACACATTTTGCAAGTACTGATATGTCTCTGTTTCCAACTTTAATATTCCAATTATCAGTAGTTACCAGTGCATCTTAACTGCATGTTTGTTCAATTTCAGACTATAGATGTTGGTAAAAACGTTCAATTTCTTCATCTTTTGCATAAGTGATTGTGGCGAAAATTTGAATAATGGTCATTAACATATCTTCCTTGTAGGTAAATGAATTTTAACAACTATATTATACGTAAAGGTTGCAAATATTTCTAGAGGGCTTTTGTTATATTTTCAAAGGGATCCATGGAACGCAAATAAATATTAATTTAAGAACTATAATTATTCATTTTTCCACAGAGAAATGTATACCTAACTTCCAATCCTTGCATGTTACCAAGTATACTAGGTAAAGTGACATAAAAATCTATTTTTATTCTCATTTAAAACTGATACTTTTTGAATTTTGAAGCAAGTAGTCTTACTGAGCAGTGCCTCTTAACCATGCCCTATCATGTAAATATTTACATTTCTCTTAAATGGCTGAGACGTTTTAGAGTCCAATAATGATCGGTTTTGCTAATGTCACAGAACACACTGCAATCACTGTGTACTCATCTCCCCACCGCTGTCATTACCCACCCAATAATTACAGAGACCTGAAATGCAAGTGAAATGCTCTGATATTTAAAATTTCAAGTGCTGTTTAAAAGCTGGACTTTAGGGCTATTGAGTCAACAACTGTTCAAAAATTTAACTATGCAAAAGAATTCCCTGTGAAAGAAATGTAAACTGACCTTCATGAGATGCTGATTTATCCATTTTGTAAACGTTTTCTTCTGAACTTTGTCCCGTTCATCTGAAAAAAAGGAGAAAACGATATATGATCAGTGAAGAATTTATTGGTGATTACGCACATCAACAAAAATAAGGCATTTAAACATATTGTTGAGTACATCTGAATTTTCTTCTTAAATGTGGGCGGTTTAAAGTTATCTGTAAGAAAGTGTTAAAGATCTCTCTATCAGACCACTTCTATTTTCCAACAGCATTCCATTAAATAAAGGAACTCGACCTGCCCTCTGTCTGCAACTTCACCTCACCTGCACAGAACGGTCTGCTCTCACCTTAGAGCTGCAGGGCGGGCCTTGCAGGAGAACCACCCAAGGCACTTTAACAGGCACTGGCTGTGTGTGCTCTTCACCTGACAGGTAGTTAGTGTTATTTCCATTTCGCAAAAGAGGAAACTGGCCCACTCTTACCCAACGTGGGATTTATAGTTTTGATAAAAGGCACAATTTAAAAGTAGGCCTTCTGGCTTGAAGTCAAGCCCTAATTTAATTACAACCATGCTGCTTCTTTCTAGTTTGTCTGTAAGAAACCCCCCAATTAGATCCTCACTGTGGAGAGTAACACTCTCCTGATCACTGCAGTTCTGGTGCAGAGGGCCCGGGATCAGTCTTCCCCCACCAAGAACTAACATTCACAACCGCATCCTTCCTTCCTTTCCACTTCTGGGCAGCAATTCCCTGCTTTCCTGTTTCCTCCCTCCCTCCTTTCTACAGCGGGGCATAAATCTTGCTCCTTGCTCTCTCACCACAATCAGACTCTGTGTAACCTTTCCCTGGGGGTAAAACATACCTCGCTTTTTCCCTTCAGCTTTTTCTCCTCATTTCACCTCTGCACCCTTCTTAAACTATTAAATTGGAACCAGATTTCTTGAAAATGCTTATTTTGTTTATTAGAAGTATCCGTGCCTTCTACAAACAGTATTTATGATTTCCAAAATAAACATAATAACAAATGTAAGAACAAATCAAATGGAAGAAAAGTATGCAACATGTGACCGAGGATGAAACTCAAACAAACTCACTGCCATTGAGTCAGTTCTGACTCCTGGCAACCCGATAGGACAGAGCATATCTGCCCCTGAAGGTTTCCAAGACTGTAAATCTATGTGGGAGCAGAAAGTCTCATCTTTCTCCCGAGGAGTAGATGATGGTTTTGAACTGCTGACTTTGAGATCAGCAAAACTGAACGCATAACCACTAAGCCACCAGAGCTCCTTAATGAAAAGTATAAGGGAAAATCAAGTGGGGAAAAGTATACAACGAGACAGAGGATTATTAATATTTTTAAAGCACTTAGAAATAAGAAAGGTGAGCACCTGAATATGTACGTGGACAAAAAATATTTCTTTAATAAAATAAAGCCTGTCTTTCTCTCTCAGAGTTGCTAGTGGTTTCAAATAGTGGACCCTGAGGATCCCAACACATAACCACTACCCCACTAGAGCGCCTTTCAATCTCACTAGACAATCATAGTGCAAATAACACAGATAACGCATCTTATCAAACTGCCAAGAGTTTGTGGGAAATAACATATGAAGGTCGACAATACCACAAACAACCTTGCAGAGTGTCACTGGAAGTGTAATTTAATTTAAATCCTTAGAACTATGTTCAATACAGTAGCAAATAGTCCCATATAACTAACTTAAATTTAATCCAAATTAATTAAAATTACATAAAGTTAATAATTCTGTTTGATGATTATATTAGCCACATTTCAAGTGCTCAACCTGTGGCTTCCTGGTTACTTTCTGGACAGCGATGACTGAGACCACACACACCACCACAAAAATTCCCATTGGCCGGTACTGCTCTAGAACAATTTGCCATTGGCATTGGCATTGCCATTGGCACAGTGTGTTGGACAGGTGACTATAGGAGATCAAAATAATACCTGACTGGAACAGCTGAAAACTTGTCACTTGATCGCACATCTAATGTGCATTGGGCCTGGTTTTCAACAGTGTGTGTGTGTGTGTGTTTTATACTGGGATTTATCTCTTAATGTATTTTGTCATTGTGGGTAGTCCCCTTGAATTTCTGTTATATGTTTTTCGATATATCAAACCCATGAGTGATGAACCTACAGACCCAACAAACAGAATAAGGGTCCCGGGCGGGGGGTGGGTGGGTGGGGTGGTTATACAGTGAAGGGGGAGACTGAAATCTTCTGAGAGACTAATAAAAACATGGGTTGGTTCTGCCAATGCCTCAAGTGTCTAATCTCCTTTTAGATTAAACATTAGATATTAATAAATGGGAAAAGGGATTGTAGGAAGCAGACATGAAATATAGAAGCTTTCTAGATCTGAGTACAAATACTCAGAATTTATGTAATAATTTGCCCAAGTCCAATTCCCAAGTACTTTGCACATAACTACTCTGCCAAAAGCAATGATACTAATAATTATTAAACAATATTATCACTCACATTTATTAATTCCTCATATTAGTGTGTGGTTTGCTCAGGGTCATCATCTACACCCCATTCATCTTCATCCACCCCATATTAGATGCCACAATGCTTCCAGGCATTCAATAAGTCAATGCCCATGACATGGGTTAAGTGTGTATCTAAAAGGACTGAACCCAGTAATCTAAAGTATATTTCCTTAAATACCGTAGCACACACTACTATCTATACCTCTTAATGCACTAATGGCACCTAAGTAAGTGTCTTGAACCTAAACTCTTAATTAAAAATAAAAAGAAGCAAAATACCAGACCTCCTTACTAATGAAATGCAGAATCTATGCTTTTGTCAGTTAGTCACTCGAACATCTATCAGGCTCCAGTGATGAGCCATGGTGGGGCTGGGACTCAAGCTAACAGGAAGAGTACTGGTTCTTGCTCATCATCTAGCAAGAGCACCTTGCTCTAGAGTAAGCATGCCAATGAAGGGAAGCTGGTAGCATTCATCCTGTAAAGACTCATGAGGAGAGAGTTGGCCCTGAGGAAAAAGAGCAGCAAGGCATTTGCTAGACATAGAGAGTTCTTCATCAAGAAGAAACCTTAATATAATAACTTAAGAATAAAAGACCCGTGGCTAGTGCTCATCTTGTGGCTACCTCCAGAGTTGCTTCCACTTCCCCAAGAGACTATCATCCTTCAGAAGGAAGCACAGAAATAAAAAGCATTTCCATCACACACAAGGTGCTGGGAAATCAGGCCCTGCTGAATGAGGTGACCTTTGGATAAGTCAATGAAAACACTGGAACCTCTCCACCAAAGGGGAGCACCCATAGCACATTTTCAGCAACGCTTTCTGAGTCCTCAGCAGAAAAAGAACACTGTACAAAAGGAAAATTGTTTCCTAGCTAGCTGGTTTAGATAGTATTCTGTCCAACTGATAACCTGTGTTCCTGATGCTAAAACTTCAAGAAATATAAGATGTATTATTAACTAATACATCTTGAACATACATAACTTGAACATTATAGTTCAAGAATTGACAGCTTTCGTATTAACTTTCAAAATTAAGATTGTGTATGCCTGTAACCATCCTCCAAAATTTAATTAATGTAATCATCACATAATATAAACTTTTACAAATTCCATTATATTCACCACATTGTGTGTCTTACATAATTTTTTCTCCTGATATAGAAAGGTTGACAAAATAGATCTGATCTTTTCTAAGCTAGTAAGACTAGTCTTATACTGAAAACAAAAAAAGGGAACAGCATTTATAAGACCAATCACTTACTGGTAAAATTTTACCCAAGTGGTACATTAATAAACCTGATTGGGAAACAAGTGTACAAAAGTGCTTGACACAGTGGATGTATGTATGGATTGTGAGAAGAGTTGTATATACGAGCACCCAATAAAATTATTTTTTTTTTAAATCAAGTACTTTACCTCCAAGCACATAGGAGAGATTCACTAAAATAATACAACTATTAGAAGGTTATTTTGATTGCTGAGACTTTGTTGTGGTTGTTGCTAAAGTCTCTAAAGCACTGCTGAAAACTTAAGACAGGTGTGCTAAGTATTTGGCACATAATACTGAGGTCATTATCTGGGAATTAGTATCCACAGTTAAAGCACATGAGTAAGGTACAAAAACTAAAGCTAAGTAACACCCATGTAATTCATGAATTCCGTTATTGTTTTCTAACAGTAGAACCTAAACCCTTTCTTTTAAAGCATGATACAACTAGTTGAGTCCCATTCAACCAACAAGGGACATGCCTTCATGCTACAATGTTCTCACCACAAGGCTACAGTAATAAGCTAAGCATAATATGGACTTCAATGTTCCAAAGTTGTTCAAGGGAACCACTTAAAATCAGAAAGTAATTTAAGGCTGGGGGACGTTGTGGTCTACAACTTTGCAGATGCACTATTTCAAAATGAAGTCATTTCAAAGGGGAGTATGCCAAATTACACCATCAAGTCTTCAGCTCCCAGACTGTAAATGCTTCTTTGTGGCACTGCAGTCAGGGCTGTCTAACAGCAAAATTTATATTTAGTCAATGTTGCCAGGCCAACAATACGGAAAATCTTATCCTGTGATTTTAACTGAGTCCACTGGTCTTACAGACCATCTGGGTATTTTTCTGAATGAAACTTTAGTACATTCCTCTAAAAACCATTTCACTTATAGAGTAAGATTTAAATATAAACATGTATTTATGTTCCCCTTATAAAATACAACATGGCTCAAATTACTCAAAAACACTATGCGTAAAGAAAAGAAGAAAATAATTTTGAAGGAAAAACGGCAAAGAGAGAGCACTAATTATAACACAAACTTCTTTTCAGTAAAGTCCTATCAGAGCAAACAGTACTGCACACAATAAATACCAACTGCATATATTCTTAGGCTCTGCAAGACAATTCAGGGGACAGTGTTCTTTAAGCAGCCTCAGAGATTGTTGTTGGAGCCCATCCAGACTTCTGAAAGGTGCCCCACTGCAAGCTGCCAACCCCCACAGTGCGAACCAGTGCAGGTAGTACCACCTTCCTTTCCGGGTTCTGAAAATACGAAGGTGGTATCACAGGT